TATTTTTAGGAAAAATTTCAAAGGAAAATAAATCTGGCCTTTCCTTTTTTAAAAAAAAATTATGCATCATGCTACTGTTTCACCAGAAGAGATATTTCTAGGCATCATCAGTTTTGATTTTCATGGGATAGCTAAGCTAATGAAATTATAGATTATTTTAAGATCTGTAGATATCATTTATTATGCTCTTAAAAGTTTGCATTTTAAACTAGTTCAACCTGAATTCTACTTTAGGGCTTTCAATGAAAGTACCATATACTTTCCATATATATGTTGGCTGGAAAGTCACACTTTGTGATTTAGTTTTGATGATATTGGTTTTTTTGCACTTACTAAAACTCAGGAGCAAACACCACATAACTATTGCATTTTCTTTTCTGGGGAGCACTTTCTTTTCTGAGGAGCTTGAATTGTGTGATAAATCCAATATTGCAAATCTTTAAAATGTTACATTTTAGAACATTTAATTTAGAATTATTTATTCCTTTTTTTTTTTTTTTGATACTGGGGATTGAACTCAGGTCCTTGCTCTTGCAGGGCAGGCCACTGAACTGCTGAGCTAAATCCCTGACCCCTATTTATTCTTAAATACAAAAATTCCTGAAAATTTCAAAATATATTTAATACATTTTGATTAAATTATAATGTAAGATATAGAAGAAAATTGTTAAATATTTGCATTTATTTTCATGTGTAATATATATTATGTATCTTTTATGAATATTTATTTCTTACATAAGTCTGTTATTTCTGACATGACCACCAGCAAAGCAATGTGGTAATACAATTTCATGTTATATGTTTTGTGTGAAGGTTAACATACAAAGATCTTTATAAAGTTTGTTTTTCTTATTTCTTTGTGTGTGTGTGTGTGTGTGTGTGTGTGTCCAGTTCACTTTTTGGAGCATGTACCCATGGGCACAAGATCTGTGCTCTGTTGCCCTCCTGTCCTACTGGAAAGTGTCGTGGTAATAACATGGAAAATAGCCCTCAGAAGCCAGCCTCTCTGCACAAGAGCCTATAAAAAAGAAACAAATCAGACCATCCACACCAACTGCACTGATGGGAGAATAACCTGGGCCTCCAGACCTGACCTGAGTCCTCACCTTCAGATTAATGCAGTGGCTGTCTCTCATGATGGAATGTACACCTGTGAAATAGTAACATCTAACGGGAATTTCCACAATGTGTATCACCTCCAAGTGCTAGGTAAGAGCTGCCACATGCTGTGATATATCACATCATATTTGTGGCCAATCATATGCTCTAACTTTCATCTCTGAACTTGAGGCTGAAGTATAATTTTCCTCACATCTCTGCAGTGCCCCCTGAAGCAAACATCTTTCTCAGAGAGAATAAAGATTTGGTGGTGTGCGAGGCAGTTGCAGGCAAGCCGGCTGCCCAGATCTCCTGGATGCCCGAGGGGCACTGTGTGACTAAGGAAGAGGAGAACAGCAATGGCACCGTGACGGTCAGAAGTACCTGCAGCTATTCAGACAGCAACGTGTCCTCTGTGACCTGCTTGGTCTCCCATTTGACAGGCAACAGGAGTCTTCCCCAAGTTTTGGCTTCTGGTTAGTACTTTTTTAGTTTTTTTGTTTGATTTTCCCCCCATTCTTTTATTGAAGTTAAGAAGGATAACAGTGTGTAGAGAAATTTCATTTGAAGATTCTTTCTCAGTCTCCATTTTATCTTCCCTCCCCTTGCAAAATAGAGAAATAATATTACAAAGAATATTACAGAAATTTCTTATAGAAAGCCATATTTTAGAATTCAGTTTGTTGCATTTATACTGGTTGTTTCTATGCTAGTATTAAATTGACTTACATAGTGTTTTAAAAGAATATTCGTGGATTTAATTGAAGTATTTAGTGTGACTTTAAACAGATACTTCTGATTTTATGAGGACAAAGTCACTCAGAAATTGTCTTCCTGGATTGTTAGTTGGGCTGCTTTTCTTTTCTAGACTCTTCCTGGTGGAATTGCTTAAATGTCTTATAATAACATCTGTGACTTGGCTTTTCCATTATTTGCTTCTGTTCTACTTCCATTTTTTGTCATTTAAAAATATTTAAATATCACTTTAATCAATACAACACATATCATTTAAAGTCAAATTGTTCTACAAGGTCCTACCTGAAAAACACTAGCCTAACCTCTGGATTTGCAAGTCCCTTTCACTGTCCTCATTCAATTCCCAGAGGCAAATACTTTTAAATCTTCAAGTGTTTCTTTTAGTATTTAACTCCATTTTGCTAAGACGCATACTCATGTTGCTATATCTTATTTATCAAATTTAGGTCTTAGGCAGCCACTTCCTCCGCTAGTAGATAAGCATTTAACATTACCTTATTCTTTCTCTCACCCGACATATCAGTGATAAAGCACCTATTATTCAATCAAATTGCTGCTGATTACATTAATTTGGATGTGCAAATATGATTATTAAATTTATCAACATATTCTCTTTTTACTTTTTTTTACAGTCTTCATAATTGCTTTACTTTTTAAAATGTCGTGTATATACTCATTGAGATTTAACATGAAGTTCAGTGACAAAATCAAAGAACTCCTAGTAATGTTTTCCACAGATTTGACTTAGGTAATCTATCAGTTCCATGTTTTTCTGGAAGATATCCCTTCTTGAGTTTTTCCATGCTCTTGGTCACTTGACCTGTTACATAGCTGTTGGCCCCGATGGTCTCTTTGCCTTGATCCTCTGCTTATATATAAGCAGATCCTGTATATACTTCCTCTGAGTTCCTTCTGTCTTCTGCCTTTTGTTTGTTTTAATCCCTTTCTTTTATATACACTGGTTGGTAATCCTTGGCTGTCAGTCGATTTCCCAGTGAACACTGAAGAACTGATTGCAAGCCTGAGTATATGATAGTGGGACCACCATTAAAAATATTAATTTCCAGCTGAGCATGGAAGCATACTGGAGAGGCTGAGGATCAGAAGTTCAAACCCACCCTGGGCTACTTAGTGAGGCTGTGTCGCTAAACAAACAAACAAACAACTGAATATGCCAAAGATGTGTGTAGCGTAACCTAGGGTTTGATCTCCAGTACTGAAAAGGAAAAAAAATTATTCCTAAAGCAGTTTTTTAATTTATTTTTGGTACCAGGGATCAAACTCAAGACCTCTTGGTTGCCATCAGGCAGGCGTGGTACCACTGAGCTACATCCCCAGGCCAGAAAGAGATTTTTTAAATAAAGCTTTACCAAGGATATTAATTGTGCCTTGGCCATGTATGGACTCCCACCATCCAGTGTGACAATATGATGTCCTATTTTAGACTACTAGAGCTGGAAGACCATGTAATCCAAACTCCCACTGAATGCAGGGATTGCCTTTGTTTTCCTTGCTCATCCAATAAGAGATGCCTCATTACTGTAACAGTTTCATAGCAATGCTGTTGATGTTTCTAGGAGTAAAGCCAAACTTTAAAAAATAAAATCCTGAGAAATGCAGGACTTAAAAATGGTTTAAAAGACCAGACATCAGCTTGCTCAGCCTCTCCTTCACTTCCTTCTCCTGCCCTTCAGCCACATTCATGGAAAACCAGGAGCAGTTTTGAAACCACTTTTCAAAGTGGCAATTCCTTTGCTTACTTGCACACTTAGACTGAGCTTTGTACTGTGGCCAGTAGCTTACAGATAAATTAAGTTTGCTGCCATGCATTCATTTCAGTTTCAATGCCTTAGCAGAAAGGCACCTTTGGAGTTAGTTATTTTTCCAATTATTGTCCAGATAAGCTATTTATTTCTGAATGTTAGAGGTGAGAAAACCCTTTGTTCTTACTGTAATAATGGGGTCTGAGTTTTACGTCTTTTGTACAGAAATTTGCCATTCATGAGTCCTTTAAGCATAAAGACCCCACTGAGATATGTCTTATTGGAAACTCTAGTGCTGGAATTGATAAAGCAATTCAGAAGTGTTTAAAATAAAATGACAGAAGTGAATTTCGTGTACTGTGAGACATCCTTGAGCCACATATGTTTTGATTTTTGAATAGATTTTTTTAATAGAAAAGTTTTAGGTTCACAGCAAAATTGAGTTGAAAGTATAGAATGTTCTCATAGATGTCATAGTACCCTACCCAGGTAGAACCTTCCCACTGTGGGCATCCTGCACCTCAGTGTTACAGTTATTACAATCCCTGCATTCACATGGACTCATAATTCTCACCCAAAGTCCAGAGTTTGCATTAGGGTTAACTCTTGCTGATGTAAATTATATGGGTTTGGATGACTACAAAGTGTTAGTCATCCTCATTGTATTACACGAAACTGTATCAGTGCCATACAAATTCTTTGTGCTCCTCCTCTTTACCTATCCCTCCCTCCTACTCTTGGCATCGATCTTACCCACTGATCCTACCTGTTGATCTTTTCATATCTTCCTAGTGTTGCCTTTCTCAGAATGCTGTATACTTGCAGTCATGCATCATGTAACCCTTGAAGATGGATGGGCTTGTTTCACTTAATAGAAAGCATTTAGATTTCATCCATGTCTTTTTATGGGTTGATATTTATTTGTTTTTGCACTGAATAATATTCTGTTTCTTGATTTGCCACATCTGAACCATACATTTTTATGTCTATGATTACAGGTACCTCAAAATCAAATGACTTATATATTAAATGCATAATTCCTCCCATTATTATTATTTTGATCATCGTGGGATCAGTTTGGCTTTTGAAAATCAGGGCCTTCAGGTATTGCGTGATTATTGTCTTTTCTCTTTTAGCTTTATTGGACTAGAAGAATAAGAAATATGGAAGTAACTGGGTAAATGAGGATGTTAACATCAATTCTTTCATAATCAAGAAGCATCTTTGCTGTGGACTGGACTACTTTGAATGAGAAGAGATTTTTCTGGGTTGATATGACAGGCAAGCAAGCACGGTCAATTAAGCCAGTTAGGTCAGAATCTCGGGAAAGACAACACATGCTAATATTTTTATTTGGGAAATAATTACAATAATTTATTTCATATGACATATATTCCCTTGCATCAAGCTCCTGTTTCATAATTTTACTTCTCTTTCCAAAATCCAGAGTTCTTCAAGCAGCATTCTTGCTGGTGGTTCATTTCTAACTTATTATGGCTTCTATGAAAATGAACCCTAATTTCCAACAATAGTGTTTTTTCTATTTTCAGTCTAAACAATAATGTTTCCTATATTAATTCCCACTCATTTTATTTTTATAGGAAATGCAAGCTTAAAAAACCAGCAGCTACTCCTGTTATTGAAGAGGTAAGATAAGATAAAAAATAATATTTATAAACTTTAGACATACAGCTGGAAAATCTAGCGTTTTGTAATTTGCATCAATATTAGTGTTTTAGTTGAAAAATGAAAAACTTCTGGTATTACAATGCTAATTGGTATACTTATTTTGTCAGTTATCTATGAAGTGCTATTTATATATTACCTCAAATTCACATTTTCATCCCAAACTTCATCTTAATGATATGACATTTGCATTATTTGAACTGTAATCTTTGGAGAAACTGAACTGGTATTTCCTCTTTCATGAAAACATATCGAATTCTTGACTTTGCCTTTATAATTCCATTTTCATTTTCCTCTTACTCAATCTTTAAACATACCCTGCTCCTCAATCTCTCATACCTAGTTACTTTGACTCTGTCCTTTGAAATTCTTCAGTTACTTCATCTCTCTCCATTTCTACTTTCACATAACCATCATCTCATAAACAGATATAAATAATCAGCAAATATTTTTGATAAGTGATTAAGACAAAGCCTTGTTCTATGTTCATATAAGCCCAGAGACACAAATATAAGCATTATTGGTAGATGCTAAAGCTGTATGTACTGGTAAAAAATTACAGGTGGTTTCTGTAATACTTCCTGTCCTTTTTAGCTGGGTGTGGTGGCACATGCCTGTAATCCCAGCACTCGGGTGGCTGAGACAGGAGTATTGCTGTGAGTTCGAGACCAGCCTGGGCTACATAGTGAGTTCCAGGTCAGTCTCAACTACATAGTGAGACCCTGTCTCAAAAAAAAGAAAAAATCCTGTCCTTTTTGAACTGCTTTTGACTTTGGGTTTTTTCTTAGGATGAAATGCAGCCCTATGCTTTTTACACAACAAAGAACAACCCACTCTACGAAGCTGCAAACAAGGTTCATGTGTTTCAAGTATCACAAAGTGGAGTTGGTGGCCTGGACTTCCATATTTGATAAGTTATTAGAATCTAGCACCAGGAAAAATTAATCAAGATACATTATAATTACTGTTTTGGATTTTCTTATGGATCTAGAATGGAAAACCTATTTTGAAGTTAGTTCTGCAAAGCTTCTTGGAAGAAAAAGATGTTCTAATGGATTTATGTCCTTCTACAATGGGAATTTTAGAATTTTAGCTGCTATTAGCTAGTTCTTTGAAGACCTTGTTATTGTACAAAGAAAACACATGCTCATATTAAAATGTTCAAATTGTGCAATACAGAATAATGAAAACTAAGTTTCTTCAAGAAATAATTTTGTCAAAGGAACAATCACCAACAGTTTTTCATGTATCCTTTAAGAAGACATACATCTGATATGTTTATGTGCCTATAGTGTGTGCATTTGTGTGTCTATTTACATTTGTGTTTGTATGTATATATGTGTGTGTGTGTGTGAAGACACAAATAGGAACATATTGTAATGCTACTTATAGAGAAGCTAATAATGTAAGTCTTGGAGACATTTTTATGTCAATACAAGAAAATCTACCTCATTCTTTTCTAATGGCTATATAAAATTCCATGGTATGATTATATAATAATTTAATTAACTACAGCCCAGTGATGGACATTTAGATTAAGTTTTGTTTATGGTATAAGCAATAGCAGTATAATGTTTCTTGTGGGTATATTTCTTTGCATTGTTTGAATGCATCTGTAGGATAATTTCCTTGAGTGAAATTACCATGTCAATTGGTATGCACTTTTATTATTGATAGGTATGTCAAATTGTATCAATTTACATTCCCTCAACAGTGTATGATTGTTCCTTATTTTGATATCTGCAAGATTCTCACTTCCTTGATTCCCATTTTCTCTTTTAAATTAAATAGTTGACTAATATGATGTAAGATTATAATAAGAACTGTACTAGTTAATAAAACTGAATTTATATTTTTTGTTGTGTTTGAAAGACAGAGCATATGTGTAAAGATGTTAGATTGTTTTCTGAGACACAAGTCTTTATGGAAGTGTTGATATTCAATGTGTAACAGTTTTGCAGATGATACAGGTTGACATTGTGTATTTTTGTAGTATTCATTGTGTTCTGGTGTATTTCTCAAGTAGTAGATATCTATGGCCTTTATATGTAGCTAAATAGGCACTACAGAGAATTTGGGGTTTCTGCTTGCTAAAAGAACAGCAATAGGATGACATGACCCTCCCCTATGTATTTCTGTGGAGCAAAATATTGGGATTATGTATAATGAGAATTTTTAATATCATAAAAATCTTGTTAGACATTAAAAGTATGAAAAAATAAAACTATATCAGGAAAGATATTAAAAGATTTTTGTCATGACAGAAATTAAAACAAAATACATTCATTTTTCAATTGTATCATCAAAGAAAGTTAAACCAGTGACTGTCATACTGATACATTTTATCTTTCTCCCGATATTTTAATTGTTTTAGGCTTTGTTCTTAAGGGGAGTTCTTAAGTCTATGCTAGAGGTAAAACTAATATATTGACATGTGGTGCATGATATTTTTGATGGAATATTTTCACTTGCGCTCTTAACCTCCCCCCAAACTCACTTCAATCCATTGTTTCTTCACTTGAGTATTACTGAATGGTGTGCACAATGGACATCATAACCCTGTCCTTGACATTTTACTAATTCTTCACCCACCCTTATTTGGGATGAACTCTTAGTCCGTAGAACCAAGACTATATGTTTAAATATTACTAAAAAAATACAACTGCCATGTTTTACTTAAGTGAGTCCTTCACTTATAAATGGGACAAAGCACACAGGCTGCTTTTAGCAAACAAAGCAGCTTCTCAGTATTTTGGGCAGATGGACTCAAAAGGAATTATAAAACCCCACTAGGGCCAAAAGTATAGCAATCTTGTACACACTTGAGCAGACCATCCTTGGGCACTCAAGTCATAAATATTTCACCCCAGTTTTCTTAGCCCCTTCAATACCTACAGAAGCCTAATTCCTTTCCTAGTTAGTGGCTTTTATCTCTCTCTCCTGGTGTTAGCCCATCCACTCATGGATGGAATCTCTCCCAGGTAGCTACCTCTATCTCTCTTCCAGTGTCAGGCCATCCACATATGGATGTGATAAACAGCTTTTCCCAGTTAGCTGCTAGAATCTCCTAATTTTAGGCCCTGGTTCTAGTCCCTGTTCACTGGAATAAACTTTTCTTTCAAAAGCCTGTTTTGATAAGTGGATTCTTTATGACAACAACAAAATGTACTTACAATTTAACTTGATAATGTCTAAGGAGAACATAAAATAGTAGTAAAGACTTCAAGATAATTTAGAAACTAGGCACAGTTTTGCATATCTGTAATCCCAGCACTCTGGGAAGCAGAGAGAGAAACATCCCAAGCCTGAGCTAATCTGGGTAATTTAACGACTTAGCAAGATCTTGTCTAAAAATGTAATGAAAACATAATTAAAAATAAAGTCTGGGGTTATAGCTCAGTAAAAAGGCTCTGGGTTTAATCCTCAGTGCTGCTAAAAATACTTTATAAACCTGAAATAACCATTATATTATACAGAAAATAATTGTATGAAAATGGCTTGTTATAGAAGTGAAATATGGCTGAATATTTGAAATAAAAATTTATACAGATTCCTCAAATCCACTTTAGGTCTGCTGAATCAGAAAAGTTAGAGAGTAGACCAACGTCTTAGTCACTTTCTCCTCACTGGGACAAAATACCCAACACAATTTAAAGTAAGAGAGGGTTCTTTTGGGGCACATTTTCATTACATGGTCAGGATGGGCATGGTGGAAAGGGCTGGCGGAGAAATGCTGCTGACATCATGGTGGCCAGGAAGCAAAGAGAGTAGGGATGAGCCTGGGAGAGAAATTCATCTTTCATGGTAACTCCCCTGGGGACCGCCTGTCTGACCAGGCTCCACTTTCCAACAGCACACTCAACTGCTGAACTCATTAGTGGACTAAGCCCCTGATAAGTACAATGCCCTCATGATCCCCAATGACCTTCCAAACACATGAGGCTTTTGGGGCCTTTTTTAGATGGAAACCATAACAACCAGATATGTCAGTTCAATCTTCCAGGAAGCAGAGGCTGAGATGAAATTAGGAGTGAGGAATGTTAACTGGGAGAAGAGAATATAGCTGTGAAAGACTAAAGAGCAAGGAAGCAGGATAGGGGAGGGCAAACATTTAGACGCAATGTTGATCTAATGAAAGTTGTGAAAGGAAAGCAAGGAGGAAGCAGGACTGAGGTGAAAGAACCTAAAGTACAATATTAGAATTGTCAAAGGGTTAGCCAAACCAGCTCTGCAGCAAAGCATAGTCTTTATGTAAGGAAATGATGACACTCGATACAATATTAGTCATTGGCTGGGGGCTGCCTGGATAGAAGATGGCCTCAATTCAAAACCTGAAATGGATCCTGATGGTGTTAAACAAGTGGAAACTATCAGTTAACTAATAGTTAATTAGTCCACTAATGAATAGTGGATTAGTCTACTTATGAGTTGAGTGTGCTGTTGGAAAGTGGAGCCTGGTCAGTGGAGTCCTTGCAGTGGGATGGTAAGTTTTCTACTGATGGGAAATCTGAACTGCACACCAATTGGTTGTAGTATGTAACTGTATGTCTATCTAGTTAAAACTCTTGTACATCTTATCTTAGGCATACCTTTTATAAAGAAACTATGTTTTTTTAATGAAAAAAGTTACAGTTTTTATTAACATTTTGGAATTTTATGCTTATTAAAGGAGTTTAAATCATACGAATTTGTGGTGGTTACTTCCATATTTGTTCATATTTTGACATTCTTACATGTCTTATTTACTATGCTTTCTCCTTTCCCTTGATTTCATCTTTTCTTTTATACATTTTGTTGCATTGGTAAATTCTCTCTTTCTATCCTCCAACAGCTACAAATTTATCCATTATAACATATCTATTAGTGGTTATGCTTTGTTTATGGACAACTAAAAGCAATTTTATTGGGTACAATTATAGATTTAAAGTGTATACTTTGTTTAGACATGGCTTTACACATGTACAACCATCAGTATAATCAATATAATAAATTTCTCCACCGCCCCCAGAAGTTCTGTTTCTTTGTGACTTTATTTCCTAAACTTGTGTTTCCTCCATCCCCCTTCCTCCAGGTAGGCACTGATCTGCTTTCTGTACATGAGTCCTCCCATCCATAAGCATAGTGGATTTTACTTTTCTGTATACAGATGTTGCGCATCTTTTGTGAGACTTATCTCTAAATATTTCATTTTGTATGTTTTGATACTATTATAAATAGTTTTAATTTTAAGTCTGCCTCTAATTTTTCTTGATATTATATAAAAATACAATTTTATATCTTGACCTATGCTCTGGAGCCTCATTAAATGCAATTAGTGTTTCTAATATACTTTTTTTTGGAAGACCCTTAGATTTTGCACAAATATGATGACATCTATGAATGAAGATAGCTTCAGTTTTTCTTTTTCCCAACTCAAGAGACTTCTGTTTATTAAGCCAATGTACTGATGAAAACCTCTAGTACAAAGTTGCTTAGAAGTAGTGAATCTGGATATTCTTGTCTTAGTCCTGGTCTTAAATGGAAAGCATATAGATATTTACCATTAACTATGATGTTGAATTTTTTTTTTGTAGATACCCTTAATTGAGTCAATGAGATGTCCTTCTCTTCCTTAAAGCAGGAATGAATGTTAAATTTTGTCACAGTGATTTCTCTATCTGTTAAGATGATTAAAATTATTTTCTATTATAGTTTTTCGATGTGCTTACTTTTTAATGTGATAAGCCCTTTTCTCTGTTTCTTTTTGGATAGTTTCTACTGTTTTCAAGTTCAACAAATTTTTTTTCTTCTGCAATGTGTAATCTGCTTTTAATTTTATTTAGTATGTTTTTCACCTCAGCTATAGTTTTTGTCTTTAGAAATTGAACTTAGGTCTTATTTTATGTCTTACATGTCTTGCCTTAAATTTTGAAACATATTTTCATAATAGTCATTTAATACCCTTGTCTGCTGATTCT